AAGAAGAAGAAGAAGAAGAAGAAGAAGAAGAAGAAGAAGAAGAAGAAGAAGAAGAAGAAGAAAAGTATTTTATGCAGTGTACAGAGGGCACAGTTGATTGATTGGAAAATACTTTCTCTGTCTATTCTACTCTAGTGCCTCCCCTTTCAGAGCCACATGGTTCAGAATGTTTCCCATATGGCCTAGTTAATCACAGCTGAGGACTTGGAACATGCACTCAAAGTTAGTGAACTTAGTAACTGACAGAACAAAAGGTCTCTCTGAAAGGTCATTTCAAACATCTAAATCACTGCCTTCCTGCCTTCATAATAGGGAGGATCACAGCTTACTCATTTGGAAATTGAACCAGAAATAGCTTTGTTTACAAGGCCAGACTTGCACATTCCTTACCTTAGCTATTTTGGAGGATATCTTGATCTGGACCTGCTCGTCATTAGATTCCAGCCCTTCCTGCAAGCCTTGCAGTCTGTCCACCTCCAGGCAAATGCCTATAGTTAGCAAAGGGAGAAAGAGGCTTTTAAAACACAACAGAGTTGAAAAGTCTTGCTGTGTTCTAATGAGACAGTAATTCAGCTGTTGGATGCTTTTTTTTCCCTCTAAACATCTAGAAGGTCACATGATGAAGGGGTGACCACAAAAGCAGTTTCTACAGGTAGCTCCATGCAATGATCTCATATTCTACGCATAGAAGTCATCTGAGGTGTGTTCTTTGCTCCTGTTTCTATTTTTGCAGGAGAAGAAGCTATGGCAGCACAGCATGAAGCCATTTGCCTGAGGTCACACAGAAAGGGCTGTGTGAATTTGAACCTGTGTCTGTCTGACAAAAATGCCAGGGGCTTCTTCTTCTTCTTCTTGAAGTTTCATTCTGTGGTGAGTTACCTTGAGGAAAATTAAAAAGGACCAATCTTGATAGAAAATTCATCAGCTATTGGCAACAATTTATAAGTAGACTTAAATAGTTGTGTGCTGTGGAATATTAGTTGAAGATGTATGATATTTGTTTATACTGTAGAACATTTGTTTAATGATGCAAAGATGTGTTGCATTCTTTTATGTTGCACTTGTTTAACTCTGTGAAGCTGTGTTTCTATGCCTGTCTAAAATACCTGATGGTCTAATAAAGAGCTGAATGGCCAATAGCTCAGCTGAAGAAAGGATAGGTGGGGCTAGCAGACAGAGAGAATAAATAGAAGGAGAAATCTGGGAAGTAAGATGGAGGAGCAAAAGAAGGAGGAGAGGAGGACAGGACATCAGGGGCCAGCCACTCAGTTACACAGCAAGCCTTGGAGTAAGAAATAAAGAAAGATATATAAAATAGAAAATGATAAAAGAGAAAATGATAAAAGCCCAGAGGCAAAAGATAGGTGAGATAATTTAAATTAAGAAAAGCTTGCTAGGAACAATCCAAGCTAAGATCAGACATTTATAAGTAATAATAAGTCTCCATGTGATTATTTGGGAGCTGCATGGTAGGCCCCCCAAAGAGAAAAGAGTAAAAAAAAACCACAAAGCTACAGTAATGATTTATTGCATACCACGAGAATGTATATTAACTGTGGAAGCTGAACTTTGGGCCATTCTGTGGGAGGCAACGCAGCTCAATGCAATAGACATGGACTTAGAATCAAATGTAGTATAGCCATGGTGGCCCACACCTTTAATTCCAGCACCCCAGAAGCAGAGACACATGGAACACTTTGAGTTCAAGGCCAGGCAAGGCTATACTGTGAGACCTCACTCATGGTTTTTCTTTCTTGGTTCCTTCCTTCCTTGGTTCCTTCCTTCCTTCCTTCCTTTATGCAAAGAATCAGATACACATAACCAAAAAGTCCTACTTTATTTCTTTTAGTGGTCTAACTAAGTACTAATATATTACTCAATTTCTAATTTCCCATTTTAAAACATATTGGCTATTCATGGGTACTTAATCTAGTATCACACTAGTTATTTATCCTAGTTGATGTGTAATAGTACACATGCATCCCCCCTGTTGCTTATAAAAATAGTAATGTTAATTAAGAAATCCTTTCTTCCTTCCTTCCTTCCTTCCTTCCTTCCTTCCTTCCTCTCTCTCTCTCTCTCTCTCTCTCTCTCTCTCTCTCTCTCTCTTTCTTTCTTTCCTCCTTGTGTGTGTGTGCATACCACAATGCCAGGTGTTCTCATACTTTTTGCTTTATACCTCTCACTGAACCTAGAGCTGGACACAGTGGTCCACAAGCTTCAGAGACCCTCTTGTCTCTTCCCTATGCACTGCTGGGTTACAGGCAAATGTGATCATGCTCAGCTTTGTATGTGGTTGTTAGGATTTGAATTCAGGTTCTCATACATGTGCAGCAAATGCTCTTAACCCCTGAGCCACTTCCCATGCCCTAAGTATATAGACCAATCTGGACTTGAATTCACAATTCCCTTTCCTCTTGTCTCTTCAGCTTATCTTTGTGGTGGTGCCTCATAATGGGCAGAATTTCTTGTTAATCAAGTGTTTGAGCACCTGTGTTCTGTATGTGTTAGGAAAACAAAGCAGCCTGCAGGAAGAGTAGGTATAAAATCACAATTTGGATTCTTTGCTCATCAATGTCCTTTTTCTCTAAATGGGATGGTGACTAGACTATTAAATTTATGCAGTGTCCGAGGCTACACTTGACCTCCGTGGAGCTAGGTTCCTATAATGCAGTTGCTATAATGTTGGTGCATCTGCTGATTTAATTTAAAAATTGAGAATTAAAATTTAAAATTATTTAAAAATGTTTCTTATTTTCTTTCTTTCTTTTTTAATATTTGACTGTTGTACTGGCTGGTTTTGTGTGTCAACTTGACACAAGCAAGAATCATCAGAGAGGAAGGAGCTTCAGTTGAGGAAATTCCTCCATGAGATACAGCTATAAAGTGTTTTCTCAATTAATGATCAATTGGGGAGGATCCAGCCCTTTGTTGGTGGTGCTATCCCTGGGCTGGTGGTCCTGGATTCTAAAAGAAAGCAGGATGAGCTAGCCAGGGGAAGCCAGTAAGCAGCACCCCTCCATGGCCTCTGCATCAGCTCCTGCCTCCAGGATTCTGCCCTGTTTGAGTTCCTGTCCTGACTTCCTTCAACGGTGGACAGTGATGAAGGGTAAGCCAAAAAGCCAACTTGCTTTTTGGTCATGGTGTTTCATTGCAGCAATAGAAACTCTAACTAAGATATGTGTTTTGCCTACATGTATGCCAATGTACTACATGTGAGCCTGGTTCCAAAGACATCAGAAGAGGACATTGGACCCCCCTGGAATCAGAGTTATGGATAATTATGAACTACCATGTAGATGCTGGGAATTCAACTCAGGTTCTCTGTAAGAGCAGCAAATGCTCTTAACTGCAGAGCCTCCAATTCTTCCTTCCTTCCTTCCTCCCTCCCTCCCTCTCTCCCTCCCTCTCCCTCCCTCTCTCTCCCTCTCCCTCTCTCTCTTTCTTTTTAAAGTAAGATAGTTAGTCACATATTACTGGAAAGCTGAGGGTGACAAGTCTTTAAGACAGAAACAAAAACATCCACAAAATGCTCTCTTGGTGGAACTCTGAAAATTACATAGCACCATAATAATTGTGTAATTTTCTCCTAGAGAAAAGTAGGTGATATAGAGACACTCCTAATATGTTCAATTTCTCAGTCATTAAAACCTGAGATTTTCAAAACATTTTTACCTACTTTAAGAAATCATTGTAATGCTTTTGTGTTAGTTTCTCTTTTTCCATCTTTTATTCCAGCACCCTGGAGGTGGAGGCAGTTAGATTTCTGTGAGTTCCACATCAGGGCAGCCAGGGCAGCATAGTGAGACTCAATCAAATCAACACAAACAAATAAACAAACAAGCAGACACTGAACTGGTGGTGCACACCATTAGTTCCAGCATTTGGGAGGCAGATTCACACTTGTGAGTTCAAGTCCTGCCTGGTCCAAACAGTCCAGAACGGCAGAGTTACATAGTGAGACCCTGACTGAAAAAGACACCCTCCCCCCCAAATGAAAGGAGTCACTGAGAATATGACGACTGTTCCAAGCCCAAAAGACACTGAATTCTGTGATATAATTAAGAATTGAGAGCTGGAAAAGTAGGAGGTGGTTGTTGAAAGGAAGATTTGTGGGAAGAGGAGTTAGAAGCTAAGAAAACGTCTTCCATTTACGTATTCCCCACCTTTTGCGCAGAACAGACCAATAGTGGAGCTAGTAGCCGCCTGGCGGATGGTGGGCAGGGTATCACACGAGTGAGGAGCCAAGAGCCCAAGGAGTGACCCGATTCTAAAGTTCTTTGGTGCCTGCAGGATAAAGGAGGCAGTCATGTGATGGGGTGGCTTGATGATATATCAGGGCTAAGAACATTCTTTTCCCTGTGCAGGTGATTTGGGATGAAGTTAAATCCTGAACACCTAAAAGGTACCCCGATTCCTTACAGGCCATGGAGGACTCCGGTGAGCAAGCATGCAAAGTGGCCACAGTGATTGCTCAGCTCTGGAGTTGGGAGATTTACCCATGGCTTTGCCATACTCCTCCATCTGGGACCTGAGACGAACCAGGCGAGAGTCTCAAGTGTTCCCACAATTGACTAAGGATGTAATCTCTGCTTAAGGGAGTACTTGCCTCGATGTCATTCGTTAGGATCTTCGAGGTGATTTGGAACGCTCTTTCTCTCTCCCACTCTTTCTGGGAAACAAGCCACATGCGGAGAAGCTGTTGGGCAAAGAAGGAATGTCTTTGATTAGTACTCTTCATTTGCATTTGATTTTTCTTCCCTTCTCCCTCACTGTCCCCCCCGCCCCGTTCTCTACTTCTTCTATAACTGGGTGTCTACCTGCCTGTAAATTAAAAAATAATAATAATAAAAAGATCATCCCTACCTGGTAGGGTAATGCTGGATGTCTTCCTGTGGGGAGGATGGGTGGGGCTGCTTATTGTGGCACACTAGCAGACACGTTGGGGAGTTGGGCAACCCGTGGAAATGGTGGCCCTACTCACGTTAAACATCTCTTCACAGTTCTGTGCATCCGTGTCATCCCAGATCATGGACCTCAGAAGTTTCCCCAGTGCATCCATTGATCGTTCGTGGAGAAACTGAAATCAAGCGTGACTGTTAGTCTCAGGCTGTCGTGAAAGCAGCCCCCGGGGAACTTTCCTCTCTTCTCAGTCCCTGGTCACATACCTCAATGCGCTCCTTGTCCTTGTCCGTTTCACCCCCACTTTTGAGTTTTTCCAGAGGTGGAAGGGGCAGCAACCTCCGAATGTTCTCTTCAAGAATGTTCAGGTGGTCGTTTAGTGAGAGCTGAGGTTTCAGTTTGCTGAGATGAGACCCACATGGAGGAAAGGATACAATTAAACCTGCCATTATCCTACTGGGAAATGCTCAAGATCTGTCCATAAAATCTGAGCAGGTGACAAATATGTGACACTTTCTGAAATATTTGAAATATTGAGAGAGGTGGTGGTAACAGGACAGATTGGGAAGATGTTAAGGACCATTGAAACACTTGTATTTGTTAGAGTCACGATTGGTGTTGATAAATTCTTTTTTTTTTTTTTTTGGTGTTGATAAATTCTTATTGTTAGCATTTCCTGTAAAAAAGCAAAGTTGGTAAGGGATGGGGCAATTTGTCTCTCTGGCTTTCTTCCCTCTCTCCCTCCCTCCCTCCCTCCTAAACATTTGCTATATAGTTATCAGAACAATAACTGACATGACTTGGGAAAATGCAAATGTTAGGTAAATATGAAAAGGGTATTCTTTAAAATTTGTATAAATGTAAATCAAGACAATAGGTACATTTCAGAGCTTCTGTAGTAGGAAAAAAATAAAAATGGAGAATGTGAAAAAGGTACTCAGAGAGGAGTGTGAATCAGTGCTGAGCTGGGAAGATTGTTTACCATCTTCTCATTGTCGTTGTCTGATGCTTTTCTTAATAAAACAGGTGTACTGATATAAAAGTGCTGCACAATACACTGCATCTATTCAAGGTCCCCACTTTAACAAATTTGGACATGGAGGCATAAGTGAAAACGACACCATCATTGACACATAACATTGCTAGCATCCCTTGATTTTGTTTCTGTCAATTTGTGGGCTATCTTTTTCTCCACATTGGCCCCACACAATCAACACATTTTTGTGTGTGTGATTAGTGATTAGTCTAGTTCTGCTCAAACTGAGTATAGCCAGTAGCCACATATGGCCATTCGAGTTAATTAATATGAATTAAGATGTCATGTGTGACATATTCTGCATTTTGAAAATTTTGAATGAATGATAATGTAGTTTGAAAAATATTGAACACAGGATGAAATGATAATATACTGGATATATTGAGTAAAATGAAACAAAACATGCTACTAAGAAAGAATTTGATAATTTTAGTGCTGGGGGGAAGGGTTTTATGCATTCAGGTCAAGTACTATATTGTACTCAGCTGTTACTGATTGTAGAAACTTGTTACAATGTCACAGTAATCAAAATTGTGCAGTATAAGTATATGGCTAGACTCATGGACCTGTGGAGTAGAACACACAGAGCCCAGAAATAAACCCTCAAATAAGTATGATTGACTTTTGATTTGGATGCACACGTTTACTGTGTGCATTTAAAAGTATGAAACATGGGATATATATATATATATGAAAACATTTTCATATATATATATGAAAACGATGTAATAGGTAACTTATATAATAGGTTATATAACCTCCCCACACTGTAGTAAGATCATCTATAATTTATTCATGGAGCTGAAATCTTGAATTAGCATGCCATTTGGATCACAGCTGTTAGTGGGGCACATTATCTTCAGACTTATTGTACAGATATCTGTATTCTGTATTCTTTGATCATCATTGTTTTATTTCCCTTAGCCTTGCCTTTAGTACCCATTGTTTTATTTTCTTTCTCTCTCTTTGTCTTTGAATTTTTTCCTTAGATTTACCATATAATAGAGACCCAATAGTACTTTTTCTTTCCATGTCTGGTTTATTTTATTTGACATAATGTCCTCTAGATGAACCCATGTTGTGACAAAGAACAAGATATTTTAATTTTTAAGCTGGATAATATTCTATTGTGTCTATATTTCCCACAGTCTTGTAAACACTTGTCTGTTGATGGATAGCTAGGTTGCTTTTCTACCATGGCTTTCAGGAAAGACCCTGAGATGAACACTGGAGTTACTTTTCAAGGCAGTGATCTCATTTTCCTTGGGTATCTACCCACAAGAGGGACTAAAGGGTTATGTGATAATTCTGCTTTCAATTTCTGTTGAAACTTCCATAATGTTTTCTCCAATGCACCAATATCCATGCCAACAACCACACTACAGGATTCTCTTTTTCTCCCATCCCCAGCAACACTTACTTCTTTTTAGGTAATATAGATCTTAATGGGTGCAAAGTGATACAGTATTTTTGATTTTCATGTCCTTGATTAGGAGTGATCATGAGTATTTTATACACAATTGTTAAACACAGAAATAAATAAAAATGAAAAAAATGTCATTTGTGAAATATGGGAATTCACAAGATGAAGTGAAAAAAAAAATCAGTGTGAAAGGTCATATGGGAACAGGATCTCAGGTCTGTGAAGAAATTGAGGACCAGAGATAAGGACATAAAAATGTTGTCAAATATGACAATAGGGGCATCTTGGGTGAGTTTTGTTATTTTAACTTTACTTTTCAAATTTTAACAGTAAATAGTATAATTCTTTAACTGCACTGGAGACTATAACTCTTAAAAACATGAACAAATTTATTTTCTTTGTTGGGTTTATCATGGCTAGCTAACTAAAGCTGGAATGTGATGAGATATTTCATAAGTTTTTAATTTGAGGATTAAAATTTGTCTGTAGGCTAAGATCTTGGATGAGAAACTTCGTTTTGTGTAGAAATTTGAGTCTCTTATCTATTAATTAATATGACTCCTCTGAGTAGCTGTTTGACCCTGACAGTTATCAAATGACCAATGTCTTAGCCAATTCGGTAACTCTCAAGGAGAGAAAGCTGTTATTTGTGAGCCCCACTAAATAAATGTGGTTATTTTGGGGAGGATATACTGGAGTCTTCACTGACAGATAAGTCAGTTGATAGCCAGGAGGAGGCTGAAAGGGAGAAAATAAGATTAAGAAAGATTTCGGGTGGAGTGGGTGGCTCACAAGCATGAGATTCTGAGTTTGCATCCCTAGAACCCGAAGGATGGACTCAAGAACCTACATATAAAAGCTGCAGCGGTGCTGGGCATTGGTGACGCATGGCTTTAATCCCCGCATTCGGGAGGCAGAGGCAGAGGCAGGCGGATCTCTGTGAGTTCGAGGCCAGCCTTGTCTAAAAAACACCACGAAAAACCCCCCCAAAAAAAAAAAAAAAAAAAAAAAAAAAAAAAAAAAAAAAAAAAAAAAAAAAAAAAAAAAAAAAAACTGCAGTGGTGTTGTGCACCTGTAACCTCAGTCTGGTGTGGATACAGAGAGATAGATTACTGTTTGGCTGGGCAGAGAAAGGGGTCCCACTGGCTAGCCAGTCTAGTAGAAACTGTGAACTCCAGGTTCTAGGGATAAATAGGGTGGTGAGCAATTGAGGAAGCCACTCCATGTCCACCTTGGTCACATGCACCAAGCCATGCATGTGCACACACACAAAATACATATAAAACACATATGCACTAAGAATAACAAAGATTTCTTCTACCTTAGGTATCTGATGGCAATTAAGGCTTTCCACCTAACAGGGCTGGCTAAGGAATTTAGGGGTTCTTCCTTTATCGAGTCCTGGAACACAAAAAAGGAGGCCAGACATTTGGTCTTTGGGTGCCTTGGGTCAGAAGGATTCAAGAGATGTGTTTCATGGTGACGCTGAATGTCATCCACTTTTACATGGACTACTCAGGGCGCCCTCTCCTCTTCCCTGTGCACATACCAGCATAAAACCAATCAGCATCTCCTTATAGGTAAACTGGAACTTGAAGTCCTCAGCGTCTTGAATGGCAATGCCAACCTCAGTGATGCTTCTTGTGAAACTCATTTGCAGATCCATGTCCTAAAGCAAAATGAGCCCCAGTAAATGCTCAGGTGTTGGGCACCAGGTCTGGGTCTACAATCATCACCAAAGGTGGCACATTTGTTCTCTTTGCCATCTCCACTCCCCACCTAGGGTTTGAGTGCCAGGTAAGTTAGGACATGAAGGTCAATCTCTTCCCACATACATTGGAGTTTTTCTAGAGCTGTGCTTTTCAAACTTTTTTTTTCTATCCATAAATGCAGAAATAAGTAAAACAATTAGGGCTTCCTTGCACAAACAATTTAAGACACAGCTGAAATAAAAATTAATAATACTGTCATGTGCATTGTTTTGTTTAATTTTTCACTTTTACTTTGTTTTATTAAGCATTTTTCTGTTTGTGACTTAGTAACTTGATATCATGGTCTCCCTTAAGGGGGGATTCACAACCTGCAATTTGAAATGCACCGCAATGTTTTATACTTTTAAACCACCTGGAACCTTAATATAGCTCTTTATCCTTGGATTAGGCTTATGGAACATGGCTTTAAATTCGGTTAGTTGCATGTTTAGATCCTTTTCAGTAGAATCTGATCAAGAGGCCATCTATTCTTATCATACTTCCCAGGGAAAAGTACGTTCAATGTATGCATGTATTTCCTGTTGTCTGTCTGTCTATCGTCTCTTACCTTATTTACCACAGACACGCCCAGAACCTGAAAAATTAAAGACAAAAGCAGATACAGAGTGAGCAATGATCAAAGACACTTCCAACTCCCAAAGACACACCCCTTATGCAGAAGCACAGCCGCAAGAGGAGTTTTGTCTCACTGGCAGATACATTAGGAACAGCAACAGCAAGAAGGGCAAAGACAGCATTTTCAGGAAAAAAAAAAAAAAGTCTCCAGCCAACTTTAGCAGGGAGAAAGGTAAAAATGGCTTCTGGAGTAAATCATGGGCAAAGCTATAAAATGGAGCGCCACAATGTGGTGGGATGGTAGGTGTGTTTATGTGGCTGGCTGTGGAGCTGAAGAACCAGTCAGCACTACAACAGTCAGGCTTGTGCTGGGATTTGAGTCTGTTCTGGGGGGATTGATGCATTAGGGATATTTTTAGCATGTGTCAATTTTCTGTTTCCTTATTTGCAGCTTTACTCGGGAGAGGTGTTCAGTTGATCTGAGCATTATTAGAACATGTAGTGTACAAGCAAGCACATAGCTCCCAGCGAGCTTCTTACAATTGCTGTTAGCTACTCTGTCTAAATTTGTGCTATAGCTGTCTACTGGACTTCAGACAACTCTTCCTCCCCACTTCCACCAATTCATGACTTGCATTTCTTACTGAATTCAGGTATTTCAAGGTGAAATGTGATTTGTATGCCTGGAGTTCTTTTAGTATATACCCAGGGACATAATAATGAGCTTGGTCATATATTAGTTCTAATTTTAGTTTTGTGAGTAACTTCTGTATTATTTTCCAGAGTGGCTACATCAGTACACATGACCACCTAAGTTTTTCTCTTTCTCCACATCCTCACCATCATTTGCTTTTTTTTTTTTTTTTTTGACAAGAGCCATTTCTCTTGGGATGAGATAGAACCATATAGCAGTTTTGACTTGTATTTTCCCCTGTGACTAGGATGCTGAAAAATATTTATTGAGCAGGATGTGGCAGCATATGCCTTTAATCCCAGCACTCAGGAGGCAGAGGCAGGAGGTTCTCTGTGAGTTCGAAGCCAGCTTGGTCTACAGAGCTAGTTCCAGGACAACAAGGGCTGTTACACAGAGAAATACAGCCTCAAACCCCACACCCCCCCAAAAGAAAAATATTTATTGGCTGTTTTCTATTTCTTCCTTCGAGAACTGCCTACTAAATTCACTAGCCAACTTATTGACTGGGTGACTTGAACCATTAGCATTTGACTTTTAGATGCTCTATAGAGTAACTCCCTATCAGATGTATAACTGTTCAACAGTTTGAACTGTTCTGTGGGCTGTTTCCCCACACAAATGATTACCTCTTTTCTTGTCCTACAGTTTTACAATTTCACAACAGTCTCACCATCAGTTCTTGTGGTTATTTCCTATATTTTGATATCCCCACCTTTAAAAATAAAGCCCTCACTTCTTTCTATACCTTAAGTGCTCGTTGAATTACTCCTCAAAGTTTTACACCTTATAGTCTTATATTAAGGACTTAATAGATTTTGAATTTTTGTGTGTTGTGCAGAGTTAAGAGACGTAAACTTATTCCAATTCTTTTACATGTGAATATCCATTTTTTATGTTCATGGCTTGTCAAAGAGATTTTCCCTCCACAAATTATGTGTGTGACACATTTTTCAAAGACTACGTGGCCGTTGTTATGAGAGAATCTTTTCTGGTTTTCCATTCTTGTTTCTTGGCCTATGTGTCTGTTTTGAGCCAATAGTACACTGTTTGTGTTATGGCTTTGCAGTATAATTTGAGACCACACATTATGATGCTTAGGAGACTTCTGGGTATTTGGGTCTCTTCTGGTTGCATATTAATTTTAGAATGGTTATCTTAGTCAAGGTTCTATTGCTGTGAATAGACACCATGACTATGGTCACTTTTTTTTTTTTTGAGATAGGGTTTCTCTGTGTAGCTTTGGGGCCTATCCTGACACTCACTCTGGAGACTAGGCTGGCCTCGAACTCACAGAGATCTGCCTGCCTCTGCCTCCCCAGTGCTGGGATTAAAGGCCTGCACCACCAATGCCTGGCCCATGGTCACTCTTATAAAGAAAAACATTTAATTGAGGATGGCTTACAGTTCAGAGGTTTAGTCCATTGTCATCATGGTGGGAAGCATGGCAGTACATAGGGAGATGTGTTGGTGGAGAGTAGCAGAGAGTTCTACATCTGGATCAGCAGGCAGCAGGAAGAAAGAGAGAGTGGTACTGGGACTGGCTTGAGCATTTGAAGCCTTAAAGCCCACCCCCAGTGACATACCTCCTTTAACAAGTCAATATCTACTCCAAAAAAGACATGCTTCTTAATAGTGCCACTCCCTATGAGCCTATGGGGGCCATTTTTATTCAAACCAGTACAGATGAATTTTCTATTTCTATGAAAAATTATATTGAATTTTTAGTGTGAATTCTATTAAATCTGTGCACTTCCTATAATATAACCATTTTTACAAGATGAATTCTGCTGTTTCATGAGCATGTCATGTCTTTCCCTTTTCTATGTCTTTTTTAGTTTCTTCTGTGTCTTAAAGTTTTCATTGCAGAAGTCATTTACATCCTTGATTGTTTATTTTTAAATATTTTTTCTTCTGAAGTGATAGTAAATGGGATGTTTTTTCTTGATTGTTTTCTTGACAAGTGTGTTATTGGTGTATAGAAAAGCTACTGAGTTTTATATGCTGATTTGGTGTGCCAATATTTTGTCCATACAGTTTATCAGATACAAGAGTTTTCTGATGGAGTTTTAGGGTCTTAAAGTATCAGACCATGCTGTTAGTAAACAGGAGCAGTTTGTCTTCTTTTCCTATTTGCATCTATTTTATTTCTCTCACTTGTCTTACTGCTCTAGTTAATATTGAGTGTAGTATATCGAGAGTGGAGTGAACAGCCTTATCTTATTCTTGTCTTTAGAGGGAATGGCTTCAGCTTTTTCTCGCTTATAATGCTGGCTATGACTTTGTCAGATATGAACAACCTTTATGATGTTGAGATGTATCATTTCAATTCCTAGTTTCTTTAAGATTTTATCATAAAGAACGACTGAACTTTGTCAAAGTTTTTATTCATTGAGACAATAACATGATTTTTGTCTGTGAGTTCAATAACATGCCGAGTTGCAGTTATTTGTGTATGCTGAACCATCATCACTTTTCTGGAATGAAATAAACTTGGTCATGTTATGTGATTTTTTAAAAAAATGTAGTGTTAAATTCTATTTGCTAGTATTCTATTGATTTTTTTTACACGTTCAAACTCTTCATCTCCTCCCCTCATCCTCTCAAGTACTATGATTACAGGCTCACAGTAACACAATAGACTTTGGTTTTACTTAAGAGACTACATTTGTAGCTTGGTTTGTTGTGTCTCTAGTAGTTATTTTCAGTATAATGCCCTAATCACATTTCCCCACAAGTGTTATGTTTTTATTCATATCACTTTCGAATCTCATATATTTTAGCAGAATTTCTTACTATGAAAATACACTCATTCATTTCAATCATCTTTGCCTCCTCTTTTATTTTTGTACTGTTTCCTTGGTGGATGACTAAAATTAATGTATTACAAAACATTTTATCATTTTTTAAAAAATCCTCACTATTGCTTATTAGATTTGAGGGCAACAGGATCATATCTTGTTGAAATGAGAGCCTTGTCCTTGGCAAAACCAATTTTGGGTTGTCCCTTTCTGGCTCTATTTTTAGGTCTTTTTTCCATTCCTGATTCATTATCTTCTGTAGTTACATTGGACATTAGAAATGACATGACTGATTGGTCAACATTTTTATAATAAGAGACTGAAGTCATCCTCAAGTTACAGTGAGGCTTGTCAGACAGATTGTCGTGGAAACAAGGGCAATTATCAATGATGGTGAGGCTGTACTTCATAGACTGTCTCACAGGAACGGGATTGCTCCTCTTAAGTGATGGCAGTGTCAACAATTTCCTCAGAACCTTTTACAGAACCAGAGCTGAGGTAATGATCTATCTTGGTTTGACCAAGATTATCTTCTTTGTCATACCCTGGCCATTTTCTTCTATTCTCTGTCCAGTAACACCTCACTTTCAGTGAGCCCAAGGAAGAAAGACCTAAGGTTACTGAGCTCCATTTTATCTGTTCTTCCTAACATGGGCGTATTTCCCTGGAAGTCTGGAGATACGAGGAACATGGTAAAACATCCAGATTTTGTCATTCATTCCTAAAAACAGACTTACTTGTCAACTCTGTCTTTAATGGGCTCATCAGGCAGTTCTCTGGTGACCAAGGTATGGGGCTCACTGTTCTACACACATCTACTGGAATATGCTTATATCTATAATTTTATGAACTCCCTACAAACCTATTCTTATCACACATGCGCGCGCACACACCCACACCCCCCCCCCCCACACACAAATATGAGCCGAAGACACTGCTGTGGTCTGAATGTATGCTGTTCCTGAAGGCTCAAGTTCTGTACTCTGTTTCAGATAGTGATACTATTTTGGGAGGTTCTGGAAACTTTGAGCTCAGAGGATAGGGCATATCTTGTGTGTGGATCTTTCTTCCTCCTCCTTCTTGGGTGCCTTGGAGAGAAACTTCAGCATATACTCCTGCAACCATCATAGTCTACCCATGCACATGGGAACCAAGCAACCATTGAGAGAACTCTCTGAAACTAAGAGCCAGATTAAAACTTTACTCCCTTAAGTTATTTCTGTGTTCACAGCAATGCAAAATTTTGTCAGATCTGGACAGCAACAGGATCTGCCAGGCAAGGAAGAAGCAAAAGTGGAAATAATCAGAGAGACTTCCCCACACCTACTTCTGGCAAAGAATCACTTGTAAAGCTCGTAAACCTACAGGTCTGCAGATTCCTTTTTGTGACCTACTTAATCAACATCCCTGGAAATCTACTCTACAAAGCTGAACTTTGAATTCAACCCCTCTGTGATTCTTGGGGGAGTCACCTCAACCATGGCTGGCAAAGTGGCTTTGAATTGATAATATGTATGAAGTAGTTTGTGAGAGAAACGAAGAAAATGCTTTGGGGGAAGAAGGGAACAGAGGAATTGTAACTCATTTTGGTGGCTCTGAGGTTGGCCTCACATTTTTGGCGTGGAAAAGAATCAAGAAGGTCAGGGTTCCTGGGATGAACACAGAGCGGGAGACGTGGCACAAAATGAGGTGAATTAAAAAGCTCGATAAATGACACATTTTATTCAACTTAAAAATAAATATATGGGGCTTACTATTTAAAGTCACAGGTGACATGAGAGGTTAACTGGCTGACTCCAAATTATACTTCTAAGATTATTACAACAGGGAAGTCATAAGCCAGCTGCCCTTCAGTGGTGTGGGGTAATTATTTATATTCAAAGAAGGCTGAGATCACCATGGATACAAGGGGCTTGGGAAGGCATCTGGAAAGTCACAGACTGCCCAGAGCCTCAGGAAAGAAACAACGTTTGGCCTTATTCCAAAAAGCAGTGTCTCTGTTCATATGTGCTCATCTCTCTAAAATGCCAGCTCTTATTATTGATTTTACTTTGGCATCCCCAGCCTGGAAATGGAGGCAGTCCTGTGACAGGTGTTACCTGAGAACATTGGTTGTAGAGAAGCAGGATTTGAGACATGATATCTTCATCGAGCCTGGCTAGAAGCTCCTGCTTGGGGGCATGGAGGGCCAAGGCTCCATAGATCAGGATGAGGTCTATCTTGCTCAGGCTTTTTTTCCCAGAAAAAATACCCTTAAAGACAAGAGAGGGAGACACAAATCACGTGAAGGAATGTGCTTTCTCTCATGTTTTGTCTTCATCCTGTGGACCACCACAAGGTTTAAATAACTAGATTGGGAGGATTCCAGTGATTCTGAAACTGATACATTCTTGCTTGTATGAATGCACACAACCAGAACTGTGGTGGGGCCAGGAGGCTTCTGTTAATTAGTATCCAGCCAATCCCTCCTTCAGTGAAGTAGGGTACACATCACTGAAGCTGTTGTGGGGACAAATGCAGGCACACTTAGGCTTTCCCGGTTAGCACTAGTGTCAACCAAAATGGTGTAGTCTTACTAAGTAGCTGGCCATCCTGCAAGGCCAAAGCTCAGAATTGAGGAGAGTGGGGAGAACAGTATGGAATAGAGACTTTCATTGAAGAAATACATATTGCTTGCTTCTGAGCTAACTATGAGCTTCAGAGAAAAATCATTCCTTTACCTTACATCGATTGATAAAAAACTTCTCCTTCTCTTGGAATGTTTTAAGAACTTTCAGAACAGTATCCAAGTGTTTCTCAGAGCAGTATCCTAAAATAGATGTTGTTCCCTAAAACCAGAAGGAACAGATTTTGAATGTAATCATGCATTCAGTAAATACTTGCTGAGTACCTACCACTGTGTGACGGGCACTTTTCTCGTCGTTGGGAGATAAAGGGTTGAACAGAGCACCCTGAAATCCCTAGCCCTGAGGAGTACACAGCCAGGTAGGCTGGCAGGCAACAGGGGACTGAGCAATATAGTATGGCAGGCTGTGACAAGTGCTACAGAGAACAAGAAAGAGAAGGCAGTGGCTGATGAAGACTGAGGAAACCTAAAGTGTAAGCAGAGTAGTTAGAGATTCATGAGCAAACACAGGAAAATTAAGCATAGGCAGGGCTCTGACTGTGGGGAAAGCATGAGTTGCTGGGTTTCCTACAAGGGAGAGTTCCAAACACAGAGTAAGTGCAAATGCCTGAAGCCAGTGAAGAGAGCTGAGGTCAGAGCACCCTGAGTTCTACAGTTGATCCCCAAGAGTTTGGATGCATGACTAATGTTTGTGTTTTAAGTTATTTTTTAAGTTTAGCTTTTTTTTTTACTTCAATGTAGATAAATTTTATTGTATCCAGTACGGAGTTTTATCTCAAATTCACAATCAGCCAGTTTTTGGGGTTTTAGGTTAGTATAAACCTTAAATGGAGAAATTACAAAATATCCCCCCAGCTTCCAGAAAGCAGTTTTTAAAAGTATTACATATTATGATAATTATAAAGTCAGACACATATCCAAAATCTCAGAACTCCAGAGACTAAGGCAGAAGTATGAAATCAAGCTCCAGGACAGCCTTGCAAGCAAGCCAAGGAAGAGAAGAGGGGGAGAAGAGGTAAGGGGAAGAAACTGAATAAGAGTGAGATAAATAATTCTAAACATCAAAGAATCTTTCCCTAAAATTAAATGTTAGGGATATTAGACAATTAAAAATAACCTGTGGGGGTCCATGAGATAGACAACCTATATTTGATCCTAGAGTCGCACATAATAGGAGATAACAACTCTTGTAGATTATCCTGACATCTTTATGTATGTTTTTAGCATTGGTCTGCTTATGAGTTTAACTTATTCCCAATTAACAAATAAAAAATACATTTATTTAAATGGTACCATGTAATGCTCTGATACCTGTCTGCACTGTGGGATATTCAAATGATGCTGAATATCATTTGTTGTCCTAAATACCTACATGTGTGTGTGTGTGTGTGTGTGTGTGTGTGTGTGTCTATGTGTGTGTATCATCTAAAACACTATTTTTAGGCATTTTGAAATGATTAAACTACATTACAACTGGCATTTTTTATTGGTAATTTTGAAGAATCACTACACTGTTGAAATGGCCTCATATGTGAGGTGATTTGATTCTTGAGGGCTGGTTGTCAAGATCTGGTTGTTTTATATTCTAATAATGATATAGCCCCTGCACAATTCTTGTTCCCACCTTGCTTTCCCAATGCAGATGTCACCGTAAAATCTTCCTTATGATTCATACAAGAATCTTGTTATGGTTCGTTGATTTGCAGTTTGTTTTATGAATGCTGTCAAATTTCATTTGGACACACAAACCTACTGGGGCACTGTTTTTAGTTTTGACACACAACCCTACCCAGATAGTGGAAGGCACTTGGCATACTCATACCAAATAGCTTGTGACCCAGCATCCCTGCGGCCTCCATCAAAACCCCAAGATAAAAATGTATTTGAATTTTTTAGACTATTTGTATGCTTCCCTCATAACACACTGTGTTTTTTCTCTTCTAATTCATCTGCCATTTCAGCCTGCCAAAACCCAGTCCCTGGCCAAATGGACTCTTAGCTTACCCAGTGCTTCAGTTGCCTGAGAACACTTGAGAAAGCCAGGGGAGTTTAACCTTGGTGGGGCCCTCAAATCCATAGAGCTGTCTCAAGGCTTTTGTTCAGTTTTCTTCCTCCATTTCCTTCAAGTTACAGTTTCAGCCTCATTTCCCTCCCACCTGTTCATGTAGAGTTCTTGTGCAGCCATGAACTTTGTGATACATTCTATCCTTCCTAGTTTTACCTTGGAGGACCTGAGTTACTTACTATCACCAAGGTTGACAGTCTGGTGTTCCTTGATTGATAACCATGCTTGTGAGATGCACAGACAGAAAAGCATGGTCTCACTTACCGTACCGTGTGGTGAGTTAGCCCTTAACTCACCTGCATGGCATTCCTAAATGACTTGAACATGTGGGGGGCTCTCCCTAACTTCAGTGAAATTAAACAAGGTACCTGAGATGCTCTGAGAAATGTCATACTCTGTCATACTTTGTGAAACTCTAAGAGCTTGGGTGAGAGTCTTAATGAATGCTTACATGGGACACAAAGTTACTTTGCTTCCTGGTGTATATCTGAATGAACAAAGACATTATTGATAGAGAGGCAGTTTAAGAAGTGTCATCCATTGATAATGGGGTAACAAACCCTGATAAGGGGAGAATGGTGGTACAGAAGCAACCTCATATACCCAATCAGGTTTAGTGGCTTCTCCTACTTACTGTGAGAGAAAGAAACTTAAATCTCTTAGAATTTCTGGGGAGAGACGTAACAAGATATGCTACAAGAATCCTTTTCTACTAGAAGTTTCTATTAATGAGGAAACCCTTCCTGTTATTTGAAATATAAACTTTTCCTTTTCTCCACAGTAGCACATGGTCTGCCAACTAGGCTAAGCAGGGAGTAAATAAAGACACTTCACTGTCTCTCTTAGGTTCATGCTCACATTCTTTGCAGATGACCATTAATGTCACTCTCACCTTGAAAATTGGATCATCTTCATGGTCATCATCATGTTCCCAGAAACCACTACTAAGGCACATCATGCAGGTGTTAAGAAAGAGTGTTTAAAATTCATCTTTCAGTATTTTTACAAACTTGGCAAAAAAATACTGAGATATTGGCATTAAACAGGGAAACATTTTTTTCCTGGAAAGAAATTCTTTTGGACTTTTCTAAATGTACAAATGAATAATTCTGGTTAAAAGACAGTGGGGTGAGGGGGAAGGGAGCTGGAGAGATGGCTAAGTGGTTAAGAGCACTGGCTTCTCTTCCAGAGGACCCTGGTTCAATTCCCAGCAATTACATGGAAGCGCACAACTGTCTGAACTCCTGTTCCAGGGGATCCAACACCCTCACACAGAAATGCATGCAGACAAAACACCAATATACATAAAATACAAATCAAAATAAAAAAGACAGCCAGGATTGTCCCAAGTTCTGTGGATAGGAATAGTAGCTATCACCAGAAGAGGGGACTGACAAGGGTCTCACCTGTCTCTGGTCCCCCAGCTGGCTGGGAGAAACCAAGAACTCCCTGATCTGTGAGCTCACAAAGTCTGTGTCTTGGCAGGATGCTAAGGTAGTTCCCAAGGCTTTCCAAAGAAATTTCTGGAAAACAAAAGAGGAGCCATAGGATTCTAAAAGTTTTGGGGAAAAAAAGATTGATGAAAAGGAGGAGGAGTTGAAGTAGTCGAAAGGAAAAAAAAAAACCCACCTGTTCTTAACTTATAATTGCCCAATAGGTGCATACTTCACACATATTCTCTTTTGGAGAGTGTTTCCTTCAGGCTTTATCTCCACTGGTGTTCTTGAATGCTTTCAGAAAGTGTTCCAAATGCTATCATGACTTTCATTCTCTATCATAACTTCTCTTTGAAAATTTGTACATGTACACAACATATCTTAGTCAATTCCATTCCCTGTCCCCTCCTTCCAGCTTCCCTTGGCCCTTTCAATCACATCTCCTATCTTCTTCTCAATCTACTGCTTAACCTACTTAACCTACTGCTTAACCTACTGCTGCCCATGTGAACTTGTGTATGGGGGTTATCTACTGAGGCATGGACAATCTAGCAATGGCTTTCTCCAACCCTAACCAACAAAAAGTGCCTCCTCTCCTTCCCTCTGCAAATGCCTGGCAGTTGCTCCCCACCTAAGGATGGGGCTTCTGGACACCTCCCACTCTTCCAGGCTGGAATTTTGCAAAAATTTACCTATTTTGTATGCATTGGTATTTTTGCTTACATGTATGTCTGTGGGACAATGCCAGATCCCCTGGAACTGGAATTACAGTCATCTGTGAACTGCCATGTGGGTGCTGAGAATTGAACCTGGGTCCTTTGGAAAAACAGCCAGTTCTCTTAACCACTGAGCAATCTCTCCAGGCCCCAGGCTGGAATTTTTAACTCTCTTTTATGCCCATGGCCAGAGAAGACCTTGTGTGTTTAAGTTATGAGGTCAAGTTAGCTAGCCAGTTAGCAAAAAGAGACTATACTATACTATAATAGAAGCAATCTGTCCTAAGACCATAAGGTACGAATGAAACTCTAGTATATGAAAGCCTGCTTGAGAACACTGAAAGCTGAACCCAACATATCCCAGTTCCAAAACCATTGCCAAGGTACAAGACTGTGGAGTAAACGAATGGCTGTTACTTCAAACTATTAGATGTAGCTCGTTATACAGCAAAAACTAATGGGTACACATTTGTTTATTTTCAGTGTAAAGACTAAGAGATATTTGACTACTTAAATTTCTCTGCCTCTCCAGGTATGGTAGCTCAGGTCTTGTTATCTGGGCACTCAGGAACCTGAGGAGGATTTCCATGATGTTCCAGGTTAGCCTAAGCTACAGAGTAAACCTCTGTTTAAAACAAACAAACAAACAAAACCCTTCAAAAAACTCAAAATTAGTCTGCCTCTTTAGAAGGCTATTATCTTGGAACAATCTTGTAGGTTTGGAAACTGGTGGACGACTGGTGTGACTTCAGGTGCACAGGCACTGTTTGTGTGATGAGGCCGAGGCACTGCTCACAGAGTCTTAATATGCACCTACAGGCTTTGTGGACCATTCTGAAGAACTGGTACTATGAGCCAAGTCAGAGTCAGTCAGGGAGGATTTTGAGAAGTATACAGAAGAATTGAAGTTAATAATGAATAGTAATCACTTGGTACTAGAAATTATAAACTGAAGAAATGTTTCTCTTGAATATTAAAATTTATGAATGATTTTAGCCTAATAATGACTACGATCAAAACTGCTTTTATACCCAGCACACATGTACTACTTGCATTGCTTAGGGATCTGCTTCTGCACCTATTGAAACCCTTGAAATATATCAAACAATAAATGTTCTGAAGGTTCAGAGATCTAAAGTTTTCCTCAGGCTACATTAGGAGTACACAGCAGACCTGGATTCAAATCCCACTTAGAATGGAACTCTGCAGGGTGGAGGGTTAGGGACATGACACAATGGAACTCAAGAACTAGACTCTGAGCAACCTCTTGCCTCTAGCCTTGCTGAATTTTAATATTGTTTCTGGCTGCCCAGCTTGTAACACTGGCATAATGGAAACCAAAGCATAAACTGACATTTAACCAGCTCTGCGATTTGCCTTCCCGTGTCCATTCTCCCTCCTCTAGAAGAGATCCCTGGATTACAGCACAAACATATTGTGCACCAATATTCCTTAAAGATGGGTGTGGTCTTATAAGAGTGGTGGTCTACATGCGAGGTGAAGAGAGGAACTTAACACTCAGCAAGGGACCTAAGGCAACTCCTTTCTCTATTCTTTTCTACCATCGAATGCACTGAAGACAAGATGAAACATGAGCAGTCATTTTGGTTTATAAAAGGGATGCCAAAGCCCATTTGTTGAAAAACCAACCTTCTCTATGGAGCTGTTGGAGTAACTGTCCATTTGCCGGATGAAGTCCCGACTCAGTTGACTGGTCCAGGCTTCATCACTAATTTTCCATAAAGATTCCTTGAGCAACTGTTGCAGGAAGTGGAAGTTAGATGTGAGTTTGACTATTTATCAGGTTTTTCTGGTACTTTTTTGACTTTCTAAAGTATAAATATACATATATAACTGGGATAATTCTTTCTCATTAAGTAGCTTGTTGTTTTGGAAACTTAGCTTTCATTTATTTTAAAACTACTTTCTGATATGTTCTGAATTCCTATTAAGGCTAAAATATATGTATGTTGAAATTACTTTATGTAAGTCCCTTCCTTTCCTTTCTTAAACAAAACTCACACAAAGATTAAAATAGAATACAATTGCAAACATAAATTGCAGTAACATTTTTCAAGTTCTGAAGATTTGGAAAAACTCCATTAGACAGTGTTTGTGTGGCTTATTGCCTACAAAATATGAGAGCGAAGCTTTCAAATAGGGGATGGAATATCTTCAAGAACCAAACAGATGCACAGGTGAATTTCTGCTAACTTTCCCTCTTCTAAGTGGGTCTTTCTGAAATTACCAGATGTTCCCACACAGAACCAAAGGGAAGACTCTTGAATACTTATATTGCTTCACAGAACAATATGTTAAAAATAATTTTTATCTTATTGGAGGACAAAGATCTGTTAGAATTTCTCAAACATTATTTCTCTTATATTTCCTTCTCTTTAAGCTTAGAAAAGAACACTTAATGTCAAAGGCCATGAAAAGATTGTATGAATTTTTAAAACCAGAGCTCAGCTAGTGGGCCTCTTAAAGAAAAGAAATGAAACAGTCTCGAAAGTTTGAGGGAAGAGCATATGTTACACGGGTTTGAAAAAAGATTAGTTGCACACTCAAGACTGGAAGAAGGAAGCAGACTGTTCTGGAGGCTTCCTGTTAGAAGAAAGAAATCTCCCATGGCAAACAGCTATTTTTAAAAGAGTGGCTGGTGAATACAGAGTGAGGATTTTGAGACAGGAAGGAGCATAAGAGAAGAAGGGAACTGGGAACTGAGGACCCGCTCAGCAGGGCCATCACTTTTAGGCAATCAGTGCATTTATAACAAAAGCGACACAAGTCTTTAAAACATGGCAGTTCTGGGGTACCACTCCTAGATATGCTGACTTTGGAATAAGCATTAAAAAAGGCAAAGGCGGTACTGTGGGGAGACCATGGAAAACTGACACTTTTGTAATTTTAAAAACATTTATTTACTTAGTGGTGCATGTGTGGAGCCTCAGGACAATTTGTGGGAGTTGACTCTCTTCTTTTACTGGAGAGGAATGGAAATGGAACTCAGGTTGTCAGTCTTAGGTGCAAACGTCCTTACCTGCTGAGTTGTTTGGCTAGTCTGAAAACTGTCATATTTTTTTTCTCTTCCAATTTTTAATTTAAATTAGAAACAGTCTTGTTTAACACGTCAATCCCAGTTCTTTCTCCCTCCCCTACGCCCCCAACACCCTATCCCATACCCCTTCTGCTCCCCAGGAAGGGTGAGGTCTTCCATGGAAAACTGCCATTCTTAAGAAGCTCAGCAATCTATAGGACCTCTGGTAGTAGGACCAGTATTTATCTCTGGTGTATGAATGGACTTCAGGAGCCCATTCCACCTGAAGGGATGCTGTCTCAGCCTGGACTCATGGGCGAGGGCCTAGGCCCTGCCCTGATGATACCACAGACTTTGGGGATCCCCCACGGAGGGCCTCACCCTCCCTGGGTAGTGGAGGGGGATGGGGTGGGGGTTGGTGGGGATTAGGGGAGGAGGGGAGGGAGAGGGAGCTGGGATTGACATGTGAAGCAGGCTTGTTTCTAATTTAAATAAAAATAAATTAAGGAACAAAACAACCAACCAAACAAAAAAAGAAGCCACAGGAAACTCCTATGTGGACAGATCATGATGGGAAACCTGCATACCCCAAACTTCCTGTCTGAGCTCTTCCACTGCCTGTGGATTCCTGAGATGAAAATCTCCTGTCCATTCCTGTCTGCATCTTGACATCTGCAAAGCACTGTTTAGTGTTAAAAGCCCAAGGAGTTTATTGACTACAAAGGAGATTGTTTTCTGGAGCCAAGATACAGCATGGATCTGTTTGGGTTTTGGAAACCAGGGCTGGGTGAGGATATCAAGAAGTAGATAGAGAAGAAAGAGTTTCATTTTGGAGCACAGAAGTGGGATTTGCATTAAACTCTGTTTTATGGATGACAAAAGAATGAAGGGGAGGTAAATTCCTTGCAGAATCAAGATTTAAGAGAGAAAAATAGTAAGTAAAATTGTCAAAATTCTCTTTAACTCAGTCAAATAGAAGAACAGATATTATTGTTTCCATTGTGACTTAAAGAAGATTTAAGAGATAATTTTCACATGCTAGTCGTTTGCCCAATCCAAGATGCTCCCTCCTCTTTGGAATGCATTCTTCTGCTGTTAATTTAGTTAGTAAGAGGGATGACTAGTCAAGTAGACCCTCCATCATCAATAATTCTTGAGTTTCCTCCCTTATCTGCTGCTGATGTAAGTAGTCAGTGTTAAGACCCACCCTTACCTGTAGCAACATGGTTTCCCACAGCACAATGCTGGAATTATTTCCTAGAAATGAAAATGGATCAAATAAACCAAGATCAATTCTCCCTGACTCAACACCAAGTTCCAACTTAAAGGCTTCTCTTTGTTCAGGGTGAACATATTTCTTGTCAAATAGATTGTCTCTAATCTATGATAAAATCTAGTTATTTTGCTAATTTTGAAATTAATGACTGAAATGACCACATTTCATAATGCATATTTTAGCATGTTAATATGAATAATGCTTTTTCAGTTTGTTTTTGTTTTAGAAAGCTTTAGTGTGTGTGTGTGTGTGTGTGTGTGTGTGTGTTTACATGCGCACATGCTACTGTACACACATGGAGGTCAGAGGACAAATTCTGTGAATCGTTTCTATTCTACTATGAAGGTTCTGGAGATCCAACTCAGGCTGTCAGGTGTGGTGGCAAGTGTCTTTACCCAGAAAGACATCACCCAGGCCCTATTGTTATTTTATTATATAGCCCAGGCTGGCCTCAAACTTCCCTATATAGCTGAGAATGACCTTGAACAAGATTTCTACCTCTCATGTATTAGAATTAGAAGGGTACATTAGCAAGTATTGACTTTTTAGATAATAGCAAAGGAAAATGTTTCTACATAAGGGGGAAGATCAGAGCAAAAAAAAAAAGTTCCTGTAAAGCCCCCACACCATGACCATTTGAGAAGTAGAGAGGAAGGAGTCAAGTAAAACAAACAAACAAACAAAACAGAGCAGACTGCCTTACCTAGCAAGCTCATTGCCTTAATTGCCTAAATTGGGAAGTTTTGCCTTATGGATTTGCAGATAAGTGGCGCATCATTTCTTTGTGGTCTTGCCTCCTAGCATAAAGACCCCACCGAACTCCCTCATACCTTCAAGAGGCTTCAGGAGCTCAGGCAGGCGTGTTTTCCACAGGTCTACCAGTTTAGGGTGGATTATCTCAGGCACTATCTTCAGAAGTCCTATTGCACTGGCCCCACACAATTGCCCTAAACTGGCCAGCACAGCTATTACCTAAGGGCAAGGAGGAAATGAGCATCAAGTGAGAATGTATTTAGCTGGGGCCTTCCTACCTTTGCCTTATTACTCTGCTTTCCTTTCATTCGTAAATTGGAATGCACTTTTAAGAAATAACCCAAGCCTCTTCATACTTATTCAAGGGCAAAGCTAATAGACAATTCTTTCATATTTTTTTTTTGCCCTGAGGATAAAGGTTAAAAAATATGGAAACAAAGAATAGAAAAATTAATGAAAATAATTAATACTTGGACTTCCTTATTAATTGAATAAGGACATGTAGGATATTGTCTGCCTAACTGACACAAAGGTGGCCAGATAGGGAAAAGAGAAATATACACTACAGGTATGAGATTTGATTAATGGCACTTATGGATGACATCCAGTACATGTTTGTTTTAATTTTAATTTTTTTTGGGGGGTCTCATCTTGGATCTGAACCTGCATTCTTTGCTTATTTTAAATAATTAAACTTTAAGAGTTTTAGAGAAGATAATCCTATCATTAATAAGTTGTCATGAATGCCACAGGCATAGCAGAACATTCATCTTTCTATTTTAGTGTTTTTTTTTTTAAGAGTGTTTAGGCATTTTTCTCAGGATTTTATTTTAACTGGAACTGTCTATATTATCAGCTTAAATTCATCCCATATTGGCTCTTCGTAACTCACCAGAAGTCGGGCCAGTAGCTGCTGCGGTGAAGGGAGTTTCACTGGAAAGAGAAAGCAATTTTCATCACCACCACAGGAGGCCAGGAAAATTCATATTGGGGTTGGGTGTGAGCTCAAAGTTGGTTGGTCGCCATTCTGAAATGAGTCTCTCAGAATGGAAACATTTTGCTTTATTTATGGACATACGAACCAGCTCCCGTAGAGATGACAAGTGCTGTTGACTCCTGGATATCACGCTTCTTCTTCTCTTCTGCCATAACCAGAATTCTGATGATGTTAAACAGGTAGCCCAGTGTTCCCGTGTATTCTTCGGGTACCACGAAAGTCAGGATCCGTGGCCACAACACCTGCAGAGAGCATGGGAAGGGTCATTTCTTGTTTTCCATACTTCCTAATAGTCCCTTATATTTCTCCCTTTGTTTTAGAAACTTGTCTCTTGTGTCTCATTATTCCAGTCTTCAGGTCAAGTCAAAAAGAAATCAAGAAATAAAATGTCTGCACTTCATGTTTGAATTCCAGTTGTAGGGATGTGGGTGAACACTTCTCCTTGGAGTTGCTTCTTGACTTTGCAGCAGAAAAATGGTTCATTTTGAGTGATGACTGCAGGCACTATGGGTAGCCCTGCCTCTCTTTGCTTCCTTGACAATGACAGAGTTGTTCTTGGAAAAGTGACAACTGCAATTATCCTGCATGTTTCTCCTAACTCCAGAATTTAAGTGAGACTGTCCTAAGTGAGGATGAAGATGATCAGACAACGACTGGGCGGCTGTTACTCCCTGTGCTCTGCAGTTCCTTTGTCACTTTCCCTAGTTCTGATAGAAACCTTGGCATCAACACGGACTTCCTTGTACTTTCACCTGTGTTTGATCACTAATTCCTCTTTGACTGTAAGATCTCTTATGAACTCTCCTGTTTCATTCCTATACTGGCACTGCTACGGTTCCTATAATACACAGTTTCTTTCTCTTAGGCTACCTTTGTGCCATCCCATGGGATTCCTACACTGATTCTTTTCTGTATTTAGTCTTTGTCTACCATTTTCATTAGTTCATCAACTACAAGATAAGAGTCCATTATTGCCAGATTCTGTAAAGTTTAGGCTCCCTTAGCAGTTCTGGGACATTATTTTTTCTCCTTTATGGACTGCTTGATCAGAAGGTTTCAAACTTCAGTGTGCACCAGAAATACTGCCACTTTTTCAGTTGTAGACTCTGACATGCTCATCTATTAGGTTTGGGATGTAACTTTTAAATATGCTTTTGAAGCAAATACTCCAAATAACTCAAGAGTTAGACACTAGACTAGATGAAGTCTCAGATCCACCACCATGATTGGAGGAGGAGGGCCGATTGATTGTCTCTTGGTTCTGCCAAGGATTTTGAGGCATTAAAAACTATTCTCAGATAGTTTTGCTCAAGAAAAATAGTTTCTCAGTAGCTTTTGTTAGAAGTTCGGATTAACTTGTTCTCCAATGAGCCCTGAGCCTGGGTACATTAAAGCTACTCTCTTTCTGCTTTGCAATATTCTACGTAGGTTAAGATAAGAGGAGAAGAAATTTGTTAGAGTTCTTATGAACTACAATGTGCTATGTATATGTAAGTAACTCATACCCATTGCCTTAATTATAAAGTTCATTTGGTTTTTTGAAACCTTCACCTGCCATGTGCTGAGTATCAAATTGCAATTCTTACAGTCAGAATATCAAATAAGCTAAGAATACACCTTGTTCGAACTCAAGACTTTACCCAGAAGCGAGCAGGTCTCTAAATATGTGATCCCAGTTACTTAAGTGGTAATGAAAGTCCCTTACCTGGGGCATCCCAATCATCAAAGGGTCCAGAGATTTTAAGACCTCAAGGCTTGTTTCTTGAACAAATTTCTCCTCCTTTTCCTCATCTTGGGAGTTAGATTTCATTGCTTTTTCCTTTAAGAAAGGTTAAACAATTTCCTTTAAACATACTTTGGTGTGTTTTCAGGCTCTGGGGCAAAAGATTCAAGCAAAGGGGTTCATGGGGCACAGTGATCTTGATCCCTAACATCAATCAAGTCCCCACCTGAAAGGACCCATTGGAGGAATGGGCTGGAGGAATGGCTGGTTAAAATACAAAAGCTAGGTTCCTTCCTTAGAGAAGGATTTAACCTACTTCGTGTTCACTTTAAGTTAGAAATGATATTAGGATATTAGTGAAGGGGAAAAGGACCCAAGAGAAACAGGGACTCAGAGAAATTATAAAGAAAAGTGGTAAGACTGAAGTTATGCTTGGGAATCATAATTTTCTTTGTGCTCTGTTGAGTCAACTGTACTTGAAGGAGTACAGCAATCAAAACTGTAGTGTGTTCATACCAGGTTCCTGTTGGACATGGCAAACTGGGAGAAGATATAATCAATCAAGGGCCATCCTTCTCGAGCTTCGATGTAGCCCCTTTCACACATGGTTTGGATGAGAAGAAGGGTGGACTTCCTTACCTGGAGGAAGAGTAACACACCTGAAATGTTTTCTGCTTCACAGAAGGGAGATGACCTTCCAATTTCCTGTTAGTGTCATGAACCATCCTAAGGTGAGAACTTAAAAAAGAGACATTTTCACACTGTCATGATTTATTTCAGAATGTCTTACAAGAATTTGTTCTCTTCATAAGGCTTCCATAAAGGGTTTGGTTCCAAAGCATTGCTTCATATCCAAATTAAAATAATCGTTATTTTTTTCTCATAATGTTTTTAACATGAAAAACTTGAATGGAGTATCAGGACACAGGAAACACCAGACAATCTGATATCTATAGGACTTCCTCTTGATGGTCTCAGGTTAAAAAACAGGATATCTATGCTAAGAAAAAGACTCATGGCTTTTTTTGGGGGGGATGAATTATATTTATTACTATTATTTATTTTAGAGGTACTCATATTTACATATTCATCCCCCCATTTCCTCACCCTCCCATCCTCCCATGTTCCCCACCAACCCCCCCAACTCATCCCCCAACTCCTCCCCAGGGACAGTGAGGCCCTCCATGGAGGACCTTCAAAGTCCGTCAGAATTATCTTTTTAAAATTTATTTATTTTTTTGAGATTATAATACAATTACATCATTTCTCCATTTCCTTTCCTCCCTCTAAACCCTCTCATATATATCCCCCTGCTCTTTTTCTTACTCATGGCCTCCTTTCTTTTATTAATTGTTACTACACACATATGTACACTCATATATATTTACTAAACATTTATGTATATACAACCTGCTCTGTCTGTATAATGTTACTTGTATGCATGTTTTCGCGGCTGACTATTTGGTATTGGATAACCAGTTGGTGAACTCTTCCCCAGGCAGGACTAGTTCCCTCATTCTCAGTGATCCTTAGTTGCTGTAGTTCTTTGTGTAGGGTTGGGGTTTCCCTATGCCTATTGTTAATTGTTCTTGTTCAGCTCATTTTAAAACATTCCTATTAATTTTGTATGTGCATGTATGTGTGTGTGCATGCTACAGCACATGTGTGGAGATGAAAAGACAATTTGCTGGAATGAGTTTTTCCTCTGTGTGGATCCCCAGGCTTAATTCCCAGGTCGTTATGCTTAGTAGCAGGTACATATTCACACTGAGCTATCTCTTTGGCTCACATCTTTATAACTAACTTAAAATATGCATTTGAAGAACATTGCAGTGTTGGGATGGGCAAAAGTCTTTTGTTCCACTAAGAAGCCTTAGAACTGTATGTAAATTAGAATGTAGTTTATCTTTTGGGGTTGAGTTCTTTTAAGAATGACATTGATCTGGGTTGGAGAGATGGCTTTGCAGTTAAGAGCACTGGCTGCTCTTCCAGACAACCCAGGTTCAGTTCCCAGCACCCACATGACAGCTCTCAACTGTCTATAACTCCAGTTCCAGGGGATCTGACTCCTTCACACCAATGCATGTAAAAATAAAGTTAAATAAATTATTTTAAAAAATGACATTGATCACTGAGTAATTTATAAAGAAGTTTCACACTAAATCCTCAACCAGAATAAATCCAAACATTCCTGACTGAAGCCACCACCGACCAAATGAAAGCACCTATTAACTTTCTTACTTTTACATTGAGGTCACTCATGACAACTTTGACCATATTTTCGATTGAAGTCGTGTGATTCCTAAACCTGGGCTCTGAAAGACAAAAGGCAAAACTGAGGTCAGATGTAGTAGGGATACAGTATGATCTAGAATAGTGAAAATGTATTAGAATTAAGTCACACAATTGGAAGACTTTGGTTGTTAACATCATATATATTCATGCCCCTCCTATCTGTCTGTTTTTTCTTTTCTTTCTTTTTTTTTTTTTTGTTTTTT